TTATCAGTTCTGTGATGGAGAATACTGAGGGAGAAAACCTGTAAAATGCTATCACTAATGAACTGTTAATAAGTTATATATATATAATGTAATTCCTAGAATAGCCATTTGAAAAACTATGCAAAGAGATATACTAAACACATGATAGATAAATAAAAAAAGAATTCTGCAGAAAGTTCAAGAAACCTATAGGAAGTCAGGGAAAAGAAAACAAAAAAATGAAAACAGAAAGAAAGGGAAAGTGACAGAAAAGCAAAAATAAAGTGACAGACTTAAGCATTAATCTATCAGTAATTACATTAAATGCAAATGTTCTAAATACATCAATTAAAGACAGAGATTGGCAAAATAGATAAAAAAATACCACAACCATATAGTACCTGTAAAAAACTCACTTCAAATACAACAGTATAGGTGGGCTGAATGTAAAAGAATGGAAAAAGTTACATTATGTAAATATCAGTCAAAAGAATGCAGCAGTGGCTTTATCAGTATCAGATAAAGTAGACCTCAGACCAAAGAAAATTACCAGAGATGGAGTGGAACATTATAGAACCATAAAAAGTCACTCTAGCAAGAAGACACAGCAATCCTAAATGTTACGTACCAAATAACAGAACTATAAAATATATGAAGCAAAAACAGACAGAATGGAAAGGAGCAACAGACAAATCCACAATTATAGCTGGAGACCTCAACATTCCTCTCCCAACAATTGATAAACTAGAGAGAAAGTCAGAAAGGATCTAGAAGAGCTCAATAACATCAACCAACAGGATTTGAGTGACATTTATAGAACACTCCACCCAACCACAGAAGAATCCATATTCTTTCAAGTGCCCATAAGACATATCCCAACATAGACCAGATCTTGGACCATAAGAAATACTTAGTAAATTTCCAAGAATTGATATCATACAGAATGTGTTCTTTGATCACAATGGAATCAAACTAGAAATCAATAAGTAAGATTATAGGAAATCTCCAAACATTTGGAAATGAAACAACCCACTTCTAAATAATCCATATATCAAAGGAGAAGTCTCACTGAACTGAAGGACAATGAAAATAAAACATATCAAAATCTGTGGGATGCAGCTACAGTGTGCTGAAAGGGAAATGTATAACACTAAATGCTTATACTACAAAAGAGAATGAGTCTCAACTCAGTAATCTAAGGTCTCTCAAGAATCCAGAATAAGAAGAGCCAAATGAATCCAAAGCAACAGAAGGAGGGAAATAATAAAGTTAAGAAATCAATAAAATCAAAACAGAAAAACTGATAGAGAATATCAATGAAACAAAAAAATTGTTTTTTTGAAAAGATCAATGAAATTGAAAAACCTCTGGCAAGATGACGAAGACAAAAATAAGATCAGTTTCAAGATAAAATGGGATACCACCATAGACCCAGACATTGAAGGAACAATAAAAGAATAGAATTTTCTACACATAAATATGAAAACTTAAATGACATGATAAATGAATTACTTAAAGAGCACATGTTGCCATAACCTACCCAATGTGAAATAACCTGAAGAGCCCTTTAACTATTCAGAAAATAGAATTTGTGTTAAAAGTCTCCAGCCCCATGTGGTTTCACTGGAGAAATCTGACAGGTGTTTAAAGGAAAAGTAACATTAACTTTATATAATGTCTTCAAGAAGAAACAAGTGCAGGAAACACTAATGCCCTTCTTTTAAAACCAAAGACAGTACAAAAAAAGGAACTTTCTGAACAATATTGCTCACCACCATAAAAAGACAAATGTGAGGATGTGAGCAACTGCAATTCTCTTACACTCCTGATGGGAGTGTCAGTTGGTGAAACTGCTTTGAATAAAGGTTTGAGATGAGCTACTCAGCTGGAACACGCATATACTCTCCTGGCCCTGATTTCTACTCTTGGGCATAGACCTATTAGAAATGTTCCCACATGCTCACCAAAAAACCTGCTCAAGAATATCAATGGCAGTACTATTCTAATAGCCCTAAATGCCTTTGTGCCCACCAGGAGTAGAATGGGTTAAGTAAATTAAGGTATATACACATGAAGAAATATGACAGAGCAATGAAAATGAACACCCTTTGATTACATGCAACATGGATGAGTCTCACAAACATAATACTGAGTGAAAGAAGCCAAGGAAAAAGAGCACACGCTGTGTGATTCCATTGATATAAAGTTCAAAAACAAGCAAAATTACTCTATGGTGTTAGAAAAATAGGAGTGGTTATTCTTCTGGAGGGTAGTGACTGGATGGGGATGTGGGAGACCTGAGAGGCTGGCTGTGTCTTTATCTCGATCTGAGTGCTGATTACATGGGTGTGTGTGTGGTTTATGAGTATTTATCACATTGTATTCTTAGGTTATATGTACTTTTCTCTGTGTATGGTATATTCAGTTCTCAGTTGCCTAAAAGCAAAAAATCAAAAGCCTACTGGATCCAGTAACATGAAGATAACAGGTGAGCCCAGGTTCCAAGGAAGTGGCAGGCTTTGGGATCTAACATTAATTCCCATTTTACAAATGGTGACTCTGGAGTAGAGAACATCTTGGGGACTGGGCCAGGGCTGCAAAGCTACTGGGTCACCAGCAGAGCAGGGATTTGAACCCAGGAAGAGGGCTGCTGAGCCTGGGCTCACTGACTAAACTAGCCTGTCTCTTCATTCTTGAGAGTGCAAAGTCAATGAGGATAAAGGAAGCATTAGATAGAGTGTTCAAATGCTGTGAGTCTGAGGCGACTGGAGGAAAGGCAAACAGGCATGGCAACGTGAAACTCTTGTGGGTATCTTTTTGTCACAGCAAGTGACCAATATTCACAAGGACAGCCAGATGTCATGTAGAAGGCAAAGGAATTTAGTATGCTCTGTTTATTGAGACAGGGAAATGTACAATACATTTTTGAAAGATTTTGGGTTAACGGATAAACTCTGATGATATCTAGCAAAATCATTTATGTGAAACATTTAATTATCTCTCAATGCCAGAGAAATGTGTGTGTGTGTGTGTGTGTGTGCATGTGTGTCTGCGCGCACACGTGTGTGTGTGCACGTGCTCTACTCTTCAGGGGAACAATCATATTTTGGTCTTGGAGGAAAAAAATACCATATCATTAGTCTTTTTTAAAAGCATAGAAATTATGATTTTGTGATTAGACCAGGCTATAATTATAGGCCAAAGCAGGATAACTTAATATAATTAATGTTAGAGCAATCACTTAAACTACCATATACAAACCACTGTCTGGAGTCTTAATTATACTACTGCATAAAAATCATTCATTCTATCAGCTGCTCTCATTGCAAATGGTGGAAAGGTGTACGCACATAGGGACAAAATGTAAGAATAAAGGATTTAACCTGTATATTCGCAATATAACATTCACTATCCATGGTCACAGATTAAAAAGCAGTAGCTAATAAAGCTAAATGATTCAACTTAAAGTTCTTACTACCTTAGAGAGCGTGTCTAGTTCATCCTTGATACCTAATTTTTTTTTTTAAATTGAGTTTTCAGTGGAAATACTTCCTGGAAATAACTCTGGAAAATTCTTCCCAAATTAAGAAAGCTTGCTGAATGCAATGCTTTATGAATCTCCTTTCTAATCTAAAGGATACACAGCCTACACATCTGATATGACTTAATCCACAATATATGTATCTGAAACTGTCACTGGGAAATCCACGAAGACATGATTGGCTGATAGTTACATAGATGAGGAACCAAAATTAGGAGTGAAGTCATCATCAGCTCTGCCAAGATTGCTGTGTTATGGCTATCTGATGGTCCTAGCGTGCATACCTAAAAACAAAGTCATCAGTTTCTACAAAACCTGAAGCATGAGCAGCTTTTCTTGATCAGTTAACCTTTCTTCACTTGGCTGCTACTCTAGCTTCAATGTGAGCTCTCTTTCACACCCAGGCCCTTCTTTGGGGCCTCACCTTCTTCCCCAAGGTGAACAAACGCCTCTGTGACCTTACAGCCACATTCTGCTTAGATGCTCTCCCTGGAAATGTTCCTTTGACTTATTTCACCTCTGCACACTTTGTACACTATGTGCATTTGCATGGCTAGGCAGGTGAATTGCCCGTGTAGCATTCCATGACTCCTTTGTATAAAATTCACGATTCCAGGACCAACCACATACTGTCTCCTATTGCATGTAAAAATAACTTCTGGAAAAACCTCTCTGGATTGTCTTTATACCTGCCACATTTGTCCAAACTTGACAAAATACCATATAGATAATAAGAAAAAGGAAACAGAAGAAGAGGAAAATCTATCTTTTGTGTTTTCAAACTTGCTTTAAAACACAAACATTTCCTGCAATGCAGAAGTTGAAAGTGATGAATGTTATGTGGATATTTTTGTACCTTAACTGACTGATCAGAGTAGTATTTATAAATCTCTGACTGATGTCTCAAGCTTGTAAATCAACACCACCGGGAGAACACTTTAAGCACATTTATCATCTGAGACAAACAGCCTATTCAGAGTATGATTATTTTTTATTCATTGTTTAAGTTTCACCTCTACGTTTGCTTCTTCTCAATGTTAATAATATCTGTATAAGACTTCTCAATATTTAATGTTACAGCTTGCCCATTGCATGCTGATAAGGTTAGGTCACATGCTTGATCTCTAGAAGACCAGTGAGCTTTGCCAAGAAGAAAAAAAAAAAAAAAGAAAAGAAAAAGAAAACAAAAAAAGGGTCTATTTCATATTGAAGTTCGATACTAGTTGGCTTCCTTGTCAGTTCCCATTGTTGGCTTCAATGACACAAAAATCACAGCATCACAGTTTTAAGGGAAAGTAAGCCCAAGATATTTTAGTGGACTGGTCCCATGGCATGGAAGCTTATAATTACCAGAGAGCACCCAGCATCCTAGAGCACCACAATTTCGAGTGTGTATGATTCAGTCAGCTCCCAGGACAGCCCACTGGGGCAGCGGCGCAGTGTCACATTCGAAGGACAGCAACATAAAACTAAATCTTACCTGCTCATTCTCCTCTTCATCACTACTTAGCTTAAGGTCATCTTCTAGCATTCTGAAAAAAGGAACAAAGAAGTATAGATACTTAACAAATTCAAAATAATTCAGCACCAAAATATCTTTTTTTGAAGCACCAAAATACATTTATTAATGTTGCAATAATAAGTATATTTCCTGATTAATTAAAAAAAAAAACAACCCTTTCCTTTTAAGCCTTTTCTTCTGATGTCCTTAGGAAATAACAAACTGCCCCGTAAAGCCAATTAACCCCTCACAACAGTCCTTCATAGGATCAGATGGGTTGCTTCGAGAATATGAGGTTGTAAACTAACAGAATCAAACAGGTGCTTTTGCCTGTGAAGTTTGAATTCCAGTTACTTGTTCAATGTTTGGTGCAGGACAGGTCCTGCGCTATGTCTCCATGATTATTCGTGGTAAACAATGAGAGAGCAGGTAGAACTCTGCCGACAGCAGTAACACAATAAACTGGAGCTGCTTAGGTCTCCATCAGTCACAGATCTGGAGAAGACATCTGCCCGAAGACTCTGCTGGATGAGGAAGACCAAATGGGAGAGAACTTTCCGAAAAGACTCTGTGAAGGCAACACTCAAGTGCCGTCTGGCTCTGTCAGATTTGCCATGGTGGAGGTGGTGGGGAAGAATACTTTTGGGTCCACAGAGTCCAAAGTAAAAACATGCAAACGGAAAATCAAGCCCTCTTCTTTCTTTTTTTTTTTAATCTTTTTTTTAAATTTATTTTCAGCATAACAGTATTCATTGTTTTTGTACCACACCCAGTGCTCCATGCAATCCGTGCCCTCTCTAATACCCACCACCTGGTTCCCCCAACCTCCCCCCCCCACCTCTTCAAACCCTTCAGATTGAAGCCCTCTTATTTCTGAAGATGATACAATTGTATTCTTAGTAGCACTGCTGAATTGTTTACAGGGTAATAGTTTTCAGATTAATTCATTTCAAAAGAAATCTCACTCAGAAGGATACTCTACAGTGCAAATGAATGCAGGCAGAGGTGCTGTGTGGAGGGTGGGGGTGGGGAAGAGTCCATTGCTGACAGACCCCAGGGCTCCAGGAATCAGTGTGAAGGCCACTGAGCCCATGTGCTTCAAAGACCTCACTATCCTCCTTGAAGTCACCTTCCAAAGACTGTCTCCTAAAATATGTCTCATTTCTTTAAAAGCCAATTATAGGCCCATCATCAGTATATTCCTCTGAATATTTTCATAAGTAGTTTCAGTGACTTTTGCGGTGAACTTGGGGTAAAGATTTGCCAGGGCAGCACATGGACCCAGTTTTGCCCCAAACGACCATTTGTTTGGAGAAAATCACTTAATGCCCTCACCCCGGTCCTGTTGCCAGAGCTGTAAAATGACAGGTTATGCTGGGCTATCTCCATGGTCCAGTCCTGCTTTAGATTCCAGAAGTTTAGGGAATAAAGTCACCTCCTCTTTCGTAAAGCAGAAAAACTCTTGCATTTGTCGTAGAGAGCACAGTTGAGATATTTTCTGATGTTATCATTTAAGCCATAACCATTAGGACACCAGATGTGTTTCCTCACAGGTGATGGCTATTCTACCAGTATGGAGAAGTATCACTCTTTTAGTATTTCAACCACAGGCAAACCAAGAAAACATCAGTGAAGACTGCAGAGCTATATCCCCAATTGCTCTTTGTCTCTGTTGGGTGTTACCCTCCATTCCCTTTGACCTCACAAACTCCTGCCCTTAGCTTCAAGGAGAAGAGACATGGTGGTGATTTATTACAGCATTGTTTGGGAAGAACCTTCTAGGAAGGGGACTATGTTTTCTTTGTCCTCGAGTCCCCAGTGACTAGCACAGTGACGGCACAGAATATAATACCAGTTTGTTGGCTGGGCTGGGTGCTTTCCCAAAGCCCATTTTCCTACCAAAAGGCATAAATGCCTTTCTGATGAAAAAGCCCAGAGAAGCAGGACCATTTCTTGTCTCCACCCCTCACTCTCTCTTTAGGGGTAAACTGCCAGCTGCAATTTGGTTTCATCTCGAGGACTGCCCTGCCAAGCACTGGGTGTTCCAAGTGTGGGTGGTCCTGTCAGTGGGTGGGAAGAAGGAGGGGTAAGGACACAAACAATCAATGTTAACAACCCTTTTGTTGTTGGATAGAGGTCATGTCAAGGGTGACTGAGAAGTTTCATCTTTATATGGCCAATAGCATGCACAGACTTGAAGGCCACTGTCAACCAGAGCAAGAAACCCCAACATGCCCCAAAGCAAGGGATCTCAGCTTGGCTGCAAACCAGTCACCACACAAGGCTGGCAACACCGAAAGGAACCACAACAGTAAGAACAGTATGTGAAGTTCTAAGGTAGAGAATACAGCTTATTTTTGTTTATTTTAAGCATGTGCTAAGCATGTAAACACATCACTGGGTGTTCATTTGAATTTCATACTGTCTCTCACATCCCCGATCCTGGGTAGGTCACACCTCTGGGCCTCAGCTTTGTCATTTCTATATTTGCCATTGTCTCCAGAAGAAAAGCAGTCAGAGATCCACACTGCTTCGTGAATTTTTTATATTAAAAAAAATGACTTTATTATATTTCTGGCTGAGATCTAAAAACAAAAGATCAAATGTAAAAATACCTCACATTCAAGAGAGACTTCCCAAGAAGTTAGAATCCAATTAAACTTCCAAATCTTGAATGGGAGGAAATGGCACCGAAACACTAAGTCCAACAGTTCCTACACATCCCACAACAGTCCTGGGACGCTGCTGTCACCAACACTCCCAGCCACAGACCCGGAGAAGTCAGTAACCACCATTCTGTGTCCAATCACCAGCAGTCACGCACCAAGGGAACAGACGCTCAAGGCCATTCAGGAACACCGTCCAGCCCCTGTGCTTTATTCTGACGGTCACAGCGGAACCTCCGTGACTCAACATTCAATGTGTTCTTTAGGTCTGGCCCAACACACTTGAGGAGGAGGAGCCAAAGTGGATATTTGAGGTTAGAGCTGAACAACAAAGCATGGTTGGAGAAGAAAAATGCTGTAATCCCACAAGATCCTAAAAAAACATCAGTGTGTGGAGAGTGGCAGGTAGACAGGAAGCCGAGATCAGCTCCATGTAAACACATTGTGGCAACTGTGCCCCCAAATCCAATCTTATACATTTGAGAACATTTTATCATCTATTTCTGAAAGGAATAGACTGGCATGGGTATATTAAACAAGAACAAAAGACAAAGGTTTAAACCAGAAGTAGAAGAAAATCCAAATTAAGTGTTGGTGATGTCAAGGGGCAGAGGCGGGTATCTCCAACTCCATTTTTGAAAAAGTAAGGCAAAGTCTCCCATGCTCTGAAGGGCTGGAGGCAGAGTTGGGATGGGTCATCTGTACATCAGCGTAGGGCACGTGCTTCGGGATCGTGCTGGCTCCAGGGAGCACCCTGCCGCACCCCTACACCCCTACATCTGAGCACCAACGGACCTTCCTCCAGCCAGTGATGCCCACCCAACCAGAGCTGCTCCCTTTCATGTTTCCTTCTCCTTCCCCTTCTCAGCCCCTTGGAGCCCTCCCAGGTGCCCAGACTGTTGATTAGTAGCAGTACTGAGCGCTGAACAGATGTTCATGCCAGGCTGGCTAAGAGCACTTTCTACATGTTACCTTGTTCAATCCCACGCAATTCCTCCAGCTGGGCACTGCTGCGGCAGCAGGCAGGCCGTGGTGCTCGGAGCTCAGACTCTGCAGTCAGACTGCCCAGGATGATCCCTACCTCTACCACTCAACTAGCTGAGTGACCTGATACCTGCCTCAATGGGTCTTCCAGAGAAATCATTACTCAATCATTACAAAGTGCTTAGCACAAAACCTGGAACAGAGCAAGCATTCAGTAAAGGTTCATTTTTATTAATATTCCTTCTTTTTAATCTCAGAAGGTAATTTAGCCTTAGGGCATTTAAGGAATTTGCATGGGGAAACAATTTGGGAGAAAAGATGTTCCTGTAATAACGCCTTAAATCTAAGCCCTTTGCTCCACTTTCTGGACATTCTGAAAAGAAAAGATGAGATTTTCCAGAGGTTGTGAATGGGGTAATGTATTTTATGTTATAACTGCCACTGGTTGATTGATCTGAGGTGGCTTACTGCTACAGTGGACACAACCCATGCCCGTCAGCCTCGGAGCACAAGATCTGCCCTGAAGGCCAAGGCCAGCCAGATGGCCCCGAGTCCCTTAGTAGGACCCACAGAGTGATGACAACGGGGATGTGAAACAAAACAGACAATAAAACAGAACTTTCTGAAGTAAGACCAGAGAGCCGAGATGCAGCCAGAGGTGCCAAGGAACCTGGGACTCTGTGCCTGGAACACCTGACATGCTGTCACTGCTGTCAGAAGCACTCCAAGGTCGTGCCCGATGGTGACTTACCACGGAGTCTGAGCCAGGTAAACCAAGCACTGAGGCGTGAGAGGCCGCAGGCAGGATTTTTAAACATGCAATTCGGTAATTAAGATTCTACCTATTTTTCACGCGGGAACTGCGTCAGACAACAGTTTCTGAAAATGATCGTCCCAGGATTGTTATCACACGCCTCGGGGAGCACCTGGTGCAAAGGTCCCGAGGTTTTGAGCCGCGGGCTGAAGGTCCCATGCTCTCACGCAGGGAGGGGGACTGGCGTGGACGGCTTCCAAGGGAGGGCGCGACGCAGTGGCTTCCGAGCCCTGACGAGGGAAGCAAGCACAGACAGCTCCCTTTGAGGTTTGCCGGGTATTACCTCAGGTAGTTAAGGGTGAACAGCAGCACGGCCCCCAAACCAGCGGGAAGTCGGGCATCACGCACACTTTACGCACTGTTGTAGTCACGTGGTGGTGGGGGCGTGTGCGTGGCCCTGTAGTCACGTGGTAACGGGGGGCGGAGCGGGCGCACCGTCCAAGGGACGGTTCCCTCACATACTACATTCAGATCAGCACTGCCACTTGAGCATTTGAAAAAATGCCCCCAAACTGTGAAGCTCTGGCACACACAACTCTCACAGAACCCAGCTGCCTGGTCTCTGCG